TAATCTCCATATATTTCATTATTGTCCTTTTATTTTATATTATTTGCCTTCAATTTATCAATTTGCTTTTCTAAGGTTTTAATATATTAAGTTATATCCATGTGGAGAATTTTGATTGATGAATATGTTGATACACTTATTTTAAAATTCTAAACTCTAATACAAATTGAAATTTTCAATTATATATGTTGAGTTTTGATGCCCACGATGATAATCGAGGCCCAATAGGTGAATAAAAAAAAAAACAAACATTAGAAGCCCAATCCAAAATCAGTAACACACTCTAGTTTGATTGATGCATATCAGATTTAATGTGGACGGTCCGATCAAGGGTTATGATCTTAGCCATCCATTCTTTATTTGACCTACCTATATATATATATATATATAGCACTCAACTCACCGCCGCTCATTAGTTGCTCCTTGCTCTCTCTAAAAAACTTCCTCTCTCGCATATTTTAATCTCATCCCTCTCTAGAAGTTTTCTTTCATTCTTCATTTTTGTCCACTATGAGGCCTATGAACTGTCATTGATTTGCCAGTGACTTTGAGGTTGTAACTTCTCTCTCCATTGTTGTTGGTGTGCCTTTCCTTTTCATGGTTTTGTTTGATCTTTGGTGTGATGTTTAGCAAGGGTTTGTGTTTAAATCATGTGAGAGTCTATGTGCCTTAGAGTGTTATTGTCACATTTTTTGTGTTAGTTTATGGTTTTTGTATCATTATGGGCTTGTTGGTGCTGATTAGGGGCTTGAGCCCTGATTTACTTTGTTTAGTCAAATTAAAGTAGATTTTGAATAAATCTTTATTTTATGTTTGGTTTTATTTAATCATGTTCAAGTGTTTTTCGAAAAGAAATCATATTTTTGGGTCATAAAATATCTTACATATATTCCATGCTTTTCTGTCGCAATGCATATGTAACTTCTAGCGGATATTTATTGTCAGGAACAATCTCATTTCCACTCCATTGACAACGTGCTTCAAAGAACTGTACATCGTTCAGTGACAACAACCATTGAAAAGACATGAAGATTTTAGACATCTCCAATCGAGCCAAAGTTCTAATTGGTACAAATTGGAGATGCATGAGGTATGTTCACAACAAGAAAGAAAATGTAATAGTTTAAAAACTAAGTTTCTAATAATGGTTCAATAGGTTGATTGTGGAGCTATTAGAAGATATTAATCGAAAGTGCACGAAAATGAAGTGACCATGAGAGTTATCACCTTGGATAAGCAAATTACAATGATGCCTATGGTTCGCGTTTTTAGCACAACACATATCCATCCAATGAGTGGGTTTACAACGTGTAAAAAAGTGGGAAATTGAGTAATTGGGACAAGGCATTATAACTATTCAAAATGGAAGGATAAGGTGCCTATCTTATGAAAATTTCTTACCTTGGTTAAAGTATAAATATTCTAAATTGTTGGCCTCGTCGTTTACATTGTTAAAGCTATTTCAGTATTAGATCCAAGCTAGTATGGTGAGGTTCATTAAATATATCTCTACAAGTATTGGCAACATTTATTTTATGTGACTGCTTTATTGTAGCCTTACATTCTAAAAAAGATAATATGATTGTTAGTATAACATAGAGCATTTCACTTGGTTACAACATGAAATCAAGTGAAAGATACATAAAAAAAACATAGAGATCTATTTATGGCTTACGTCATGTAATCATCAAATCTTCAATAAAGCAGTAACATAAAATAAATGTTGCCACTTCCTTTAGGGATTTAAACTTCCTCGTTACACCAGCGTGGTTGGAATACTGAAATAGTTTTAACTAAGTTAACAACCAGACCAACTACTATGTATGATATTTATATTTCAATTACATAAACAAATTGTTTAGTAAGATAGGTACCTTATCCCTCCATTCGGAATAGTTGTACTTTTTTTTTCTCTACTACCCAATTGCCCAGTCGTTTATGTAACAGAAGCCCACTCCTTAGATGGATGTGGGTTAGGTTAAATACTCGAACCACAGGCATTGTGGTAATTTGCTCCCCCAATGTAAGAATTCTCATTGTCACTTCATTTCATGCTATCGTGTGTGTGCCTCATGTACTTTAGATTGATATCTTATAATCCTCCCAGAATCAACTTATTGAAACATTATTAGAAAATTAAACTTTTACATATTATATGCTATTGTGTGTGTACCTCATGCAATTCTAATATGTAGCAATTTAAATTTTCTTGGAGAAGTCTAAAAAATATTCTCCATGTCTTCTCCGGGGTGGTTGTTGATAAACGTTTTGAACTCCTTTGAACGATATTGTTAAATAAAGAGAGATCAGTTTGTTCCTACAAAATAAATTTCCCTTAGTAATTAGAAATTTAATACAACTGACAAGAACGAAGGAAATCAAATTAAGTATGATATTTTTGCAGTAGCTAAAATTATAGTTGAAAAGTATATTAAACGATTGGAATTTTTTTGTTAGGCTTTAGAACTAATGTTAGGCTACAAATATTTGAGTATAATTGTTATAATTTTTCATTTTTTCATATATTTATATTTTTTTGTTAAGGTACAAATATTAGACTAGAAGGTAACACGAAAGTTAATTTTCTATTGATATCATTGTTTCTGGAATTAACGTAGGTCCTTTAGATATGACACTTCCTCGAAGAGCATTTCTTAAGATATATTCAATCTTATTAATATTTGTAATCCTATAAAATATTGTTATATAATTATTTCCTCGAAAACACTCTAATATTTTCTAATGTTCTTTGAAACAACACTACAAGAAAATAGCATTTTAGAGACGGACAAATTTCGTTCCAAAATCTATTTTTTCCGTTACTAATGGCATTAGAGATGGAATTAGAAACAAAATAAATTCCCTCTGTAAAGTTCTCGTAGCTAACACTATTTGTTCCTAATTCCGTCCCTAAATTAGATATGGAATTAGGAACGAAATTAAAGACGAAATTAAGGACCGAATTTTTCAAATTAATTGCTATATTTTAATAAATCTTACCATTTTCTGCGAGGTCTCCATGAACGATCGGGATCCACCGGTGTGTGTGGACTCCGCATCAGCATTAGAATTTCCACCCCGTCGGTTTGCTTTTGCTATTTTTGACTTCTTTACGGCATCCTTGGATTTCCAATGCTCCCTCCAATGCTCCAAGACATTTGCGGGAATGGCCAAGGTAACCTTCTCGTCATTGCTGTTCCGGACCTCATGCACCCATTTGTTGTAAAGCTCACAGGCCTTCTTGTTGTGGATGCGACGGACTTTAACCTCATTTATCGGCTTCCACTTAATGTGTTTCTGCAAGCCAAAGCATCATCGGTTACTTATAAACTCTCTTAGTAAAATTGTTGTACACTTATAACTATTGTATGTGATATTTGATTTTATAAACTTACCTTCATCTCGACTTCGTACCACTGTTTTGTTATCAAAGGGACACGTTTCCAAGTGATACCCTCTAGGGTGGATTCTGACTTGAATATAGGCCGGATGTGTCTCGATGCAGAACTAGGCCAAAACACGCTGTATGTAATAGTGGATTAGGTGCAAAATATTTAACATTACGACAATAAATCTATATTCGAGTAAATCGAAGACATACCTGCCATCCGGGCAAACCGTTATCTCAATACGGCCATCGACCACGTCCTCATCATCGTTTGCCCCTACCCTGGAATTTGAAGTCCCAGGTGCTGCCCTAGATCCACCTAGTCTCATTCTCAAATTTCTTAGTTCATCGACACTAATAAATTAGAAATCAAAAAATAAACAGGTTCATGCTAACCTGAAGTTTCACCTTGCATAGTCCCAGATGACAAACCAATAGTGGTACCTACAATAAACATAAATTATTCAGTAATATATAAAATTCTAATACAATTAAGTAACACTAAATTTATATTGAATATGCATACCTCTTGTTGTCCCTACCTCGTCAACCGCACCCTGGCCTATCGGATCCAATGTCTGCTGATCATCCTCCCCCGTTTGTGGCAACAAACGAAATGAACGGGCAAGCTGACGAATACGCTGCTGCCGTAACCTCTCATTCTCGGATTGAGACATTTCTGCATTGAAATATACATTAAGTTATATTATAATACAACATAAGTGAGTTTATATATTAACGCTCGATCACCTATTCATCGGATACGTCATCATCGGAACTAGATGGTGGATGTTGATTTTGTTCTGAATCAGATGAGCTCGAAAAGAAAATTTCTTCCTCAATTGCGTCGGATTCGTCTGAATCATCAATCGGAATACCATTCCCGTCATCTGTTGAGGCCAAATACAATTGTTCCCCCTCGGTGGGTTGTTCAATGCTACAAGTATCAACCATTACATCTTGGTAGATGGCTAGTTTTGAGCTATTTTCAGCAATTTCACCACCCACATCGATCCAACCTCGCGGTTTAATACGACAAACTGCCAACCAATCAACTCTATCCCTCCTCATACTTGAAAATGGAAGATAAAACACTTGCGTTGCTTGCATCGCAAGTATGAATGGTTCGTATGTTTGAAGTCTTTTCTTTTTATTGACTTCGACCATATTGTATTTCTCATGTTTTTTAGTTCTAACCCCTGGTGTTGGATCATACCAATCACAATTGAAAAAGACACAACGCTTGATCAGTAGTGCTGGAAACTCAACCTCTAAAATCTCGTTGATATGTCCGTAGTACTCTAGACCATCGCAATCCACACACACTCCACTATTATAAGAGACCTTAGTACCATATTTTTCAGTGTGAAAACGGTAGCCATTGATGAAGCACTTATTATGTCTAGTCACCTCCACTAACGGACCATGCGCAATGTCCTTATATACTTTCGGTATGTTATCTTGTTCCATGACCTACGATGTTAGTGAAAATAATTATCACGAATATTTGAAAATATCTTAATTTTCTCAAAACTTTTGTAAACATGCACATATTTGGCGAACCAGGAGGTGAAACGTGTTTGAAGTTGTGAAGCAACTTCGAAGTCAGAAAATGAGGGATGTTCTCGCCTTAACGCTTCCTCGAACAACCTACATAAATACATCGATAAAATTGGCTAAGCCACCCATTGTGGAGCGCGACAATGCCCTATGGGAGCGCGATAACACCATTGCTGCGCTCCAGTTTCAGGAGAACACAATGAGTGCTTTGTTGGGTGGTGGCGGCGGCGCACGTGGGTTGAAGCGCATGAGCTTGCAGTCGACCCATATGCTGATGGAACAGTGCATAAATGATGCACTCCCAGTGTCCGCCGTTCCATGTGAAGCAGCAAAATCACTTAAGGCAGCAGCAAGGATTGCTACAAACAAGGATCTCAAATCGAAGATAGCTAAGCCACCTAGGAAAGGGAAGAAAATAAACGAGGATTTGAACACAACCGACGGGTCTAAGGCTAAATTGGATGCTCAGGAAAACCCAACAACAAATTGAAAATATGATAGAATGCTACAGGCAAATCAGAAAACTAATATAATATACATCATTTTTTCTAATAAATACATTTAACAATCCATTCACATCTAAGTTATACAACATTAACAGGTAATATTTCAAACCTTGTTGAGGAAACAAACAATTCGTTTATTAGTCTTCTCTGAGAGAGTGCAACCAACGCAGTATCAACATCTTCCTAAGAAACACAATGTAAAATCAAATCAAATTAAATAGATACACAACACAACATCTCTCTAAGAAATACAACTCAAAGCAAAATCTGTACCCAAATCAACACTATACAAGTAGAAAAAAATGAGAGAAAGAGAGAAAGAAACACATACACAGAAACCGACGGTGATTTTCTAGGTCGACAGTGAGAGGCGGCAAGCGGCTAGTGTGGCTAGCGACGATTTCAGAGGTATTATGCGAGGTAGAGCTGTTGCTTAATCGATTTCGAACCGGCGGCGTCCAACGGAAACCAAAACCAGATTATCTAATCTGCTGGTTTATGGTTCGGGGTTTTGTATTTTTTATTTTTTAGTTTTTAAAAAATTATATAGGGTAAAAAGATGGAAAGTGAAGGAAATGGAGAAGGAAGAAAGAGACCTGTGTGTGGCTAGCAGTTATAAATGTATAGTATAATGTAAATGATCAGGGTAATATGCCAAAAATAGTATTATATATTATTCATTTTTTTTTATGAAATTAAATAATAGTAACATTAATAAAAAAAATATTTATTAATAATTCATATTTTAGATTTTATAAAATTTTATTATATAATTATATTTAATTTAAATTATATTATTATCTAATACACTAATATTTTTATGTTTGATAATTAATTTTAATTTAATTTAATTATTTATAAAATTTATTACTATTTTAATTATTTTTATACACTTTGGGAAAATCTAGTTGATAGTAAAAAAATTAGGGTAAAAAAAAAATTTAATTATTTTATTTAATAAATAAATTATTTATTAATTTTTATTTAAGGATGAAAACAATTTTTGTCCCTAATTCCGTTCTTAATTTGGGATGGAATTAAATTTGTTATTTATTTTGTTGCTAATTACTAATGAAATAACATTGTCTTTAATTTATATTTCTATCTGTGATAGAATTATTTTCATACCTCATTTCCGTCTCTAATGGGGAAGATTTTTTTGGTCCGTTCCTAATTTCCATCTATAATTAGGATATATTTTTTTCTGTCCCTATTTTTCATCTCTATTAAGGACGAATTTTATTCCATTCCTAAATTCCGTTGCCAATCGGTAAAAGATGATCATTTCTCTAATTCAGTCCTTAATTCCGTTACTAATAAGGACAAAATAAATTCCGTTCCTAATTTCCATTACAAAAAGGTTAGTTTTTGGTAGTGAAATATGAAGTTAGCGACATTGTACTTTTTTTAACAAAAATAGGTCAATAAAAAAAGACACATGTTAATTTTGTTAACATATCGTACTTGAACCAGCATTCTAAAATAAATTATACTAGAAAAATAACCTGAAAAGGTGTATGTATTTGACATAATATAGATAATGGTTCAACAACTTGTGTTGGGTAAGTATATGAAATTGGTTGCGGACGACGTGGCATACCAGAAACACCTGAAGTCATATTTCTCTTGTATTCTGTAACACATGAATTAGACATATTTATGCCTGTGAAATCTCAATGCATACAAGACTTGGTATTTTGAATAGTTAATGAAGTTAAATGGGTAAGCGAATCAAGTTTATAATGTTGTGATAGCAAAAGGTAGACTCACTCTATTATTCGACATGGTAAACTCATTCATCAAATTCAAAATGAAATTTAGTTTTGTAAGTCGTCAAATCCAAAAAGAGTTAGGAACTAGAAGCCACCAAGGGCAAAAGGAAAATTTTGATTATGTCAATGAATGAGTAATTCAATAATGAAAGTAGTCGTAAATTTAACACATACTTCCATTATGGTGAGAACTTACGTTAACAGTTGAATTAAGGACACTTATTTAGTTTTTGTAGTTTTTACTTTAGCTTTTATAATTTATTTAAATGCCTCCTTGTTTGAAATTTTAAGAGACATTTAGTTTCTAATTTCCTCTAATTTTAAAATCACAGCAACTTTCACAACCCGTGCAACAGGTGAGAGTAATGAATCTCTTATTGTAAAAATCTAGTCGACAACTAATGTACAAATAAAAAGATCTGCAATTTATAAATGTTAGCCAAGATCATCATTAAATGGATGACATAAGCAGCCCTGCATAGTTTCTATTATATGTATAATTAAAAAGGATGCATTGTTCTAGTATATTTAGATAAATGACAATTAATTCAAGCGATAACAATGATAAAAAACTAGATTTTGTGTTAAACAAACCGGCAATAGTAACATGCGTCCAGAAGTGGTTCTTAACTTGGTCTCATAATTTTCAACATATATTAATATACATCTGTTCAAAATTATTAAAAAAATAAAAAGAAAAACTTTCTTATTCGGGTTGTTGCAAAATATTAATCTAAAAAATTTCAATAAATATTACATATAATTCCAAGGCGAAAGCATCAGATTTGAAAAAAGCACAACCAGTATATCATTTATATGAACAAAAATTTCACATAAGCATTTAATGACGTAACCCATAGATAAAAATAATAAAATTTAAGGAGATGCAAGCAAGCCACATGCCGCAATTCCTTAACTCAGACTTAAAATAAGTGCAAGCTACTATAAGATCAAGATAGCAGTACAAATGGCATATCGTTTTCGTTGTGATTATACCTTTTTCAATTTAAACTCTAGCGCCACATTCTCGTAACAAAATCTGCAACATTTCCAAAAACATAGATTGTTAGTTTTTTATCGACAGTTAAGATTAGATCAGAAGTCCTTTCTAATACGATTAAATGTCCTACATATATAAAAGTACAATTCGACAAAATATAAATTCTTAACTTTATTTGATCGAAATGTAAGAATAAATGTATTAAACCTACTTTTCCATTAAGAAGGCCAAATCTTTTCCGTTAACTATTTTTAGTTTTATATATTATTGTCAAAACTTCATATCTTTTTGTCAACACAATCAAACACAACCTCACTGAATGAATGAACTCTAACATTTACAAAACCCTACACATATATATGTGGTGGTTGGTAACCTACTAGATTATTATCAAGCTGAATCCCCTCCAAAGAAAAAGTCACACAAGCACAAATTCCCATCACACTAGATCGAATAACACAAACACATCTTAAAACCAGAGAAGTAAATGAATTCTAGTAATACAAAATTATGCAGGCAAATGATGTAAAGAGATCCAATTAAGTACCAACAAAATACAAATCTAGAAGTTACTGTGAAACTCTGAATCATGTGAAATGCTAGCACACACAAATTAATTTTTAACTAAGTGGGAATATATATATATATATTTATAAATGGAGTTTGGAGAAAATTTCAGGTTTTTTATCTAACCTCACAAACTGAGTGTAACAAGAAAGAAAAAATGACACCTTTTAAAATTTTTAGAAACTTCAGAAAATGATTATTTTGCCTTTTGAAACCTAGTAAAATTTGGAACATGATAAAAAATGGTTAATATTAAATTGTATTTATAATTTCCTAAATCTAATTATGTGAATGATAAATATAATTCCAAAAAAAAATCATTATATTTATTATTAGTTACCAACTATTTTTTATGGATAGTTTCAAGGATTATGTTCATTAAATTTTAAAAACTTTTAAGATTTTGCATTGATATATATAATATTATTTGTTCTGAAATACATTGAAATTTATATAAAGATTTTGAACACTAGTATTAAATTTTATAGATTATTTCCATAATTCAAAATGGTAAATTTTATAAACCATATATTACTATTGCATCAAAACCCCCTTGTTTTAAATTATACTACACACAAAACAGTCTTTCTCGTCTGGTCTGGTTTGCAGGGTATTAGGTTCGGCCGGGGCTTTACCCAAAATTTAATAACAATGTCTCCAAAAAGTTACTAAATGTGTAACACACTGGTCAACTCAAGTCAGAGTATTACCGCCACGCTTACCGGAAGACTTGTTTATTAACCATCGAACCTTAGGTTGTAGCGCTAAGGCTAAATACCCAACATAAGCAACTAAATAGAAACTTAAAAGATAAAATAGACAGGCTTATCATATAAATAGAGGATATAGTTCTATTTTCCCCAATGGATCATGCGACGTTGATGTATCATTTAAGCTTAGTGGGAGCACCATTACCTCAAAAAATCGTAGAAAGAGAATTAACGCTACAATTGAGTAAGCACGATGAATCAAAGGGGTATATGCCAAGACTCACGTGCCAATATCACAAAATAATTTCAAAACATAGATTAAATGAAATTGCAAAAAACACATAATGACAACTCACGAGCACAAGTCTTTTAGTTTCTCCCTTATATCTTTCGGTTATTCTCAAATAATTGTGATGAACACATCACAAAGAAAACTCCATTAAGTCTCAAGTAGGGCCGACTCAACCCGGTTTACATACCTTATTGCTTCGTCTGACACGTCACACAAATACACATTGCAAATATAGGTTCACAATCCTCAAAGAACTCTACAATTGATACATAAGGGTTAGAGACCCAAAATACACGTATGATAACTTATTTATTAGTTTGTGAGGGATGGACAACGATCAAACCATCTAGTCTCATACATAACATAACAGGAGGAGAATGTACACAATTCATCTCTCCATTACATATGATGGTCAAAAAATCATTCCATCGTGAATGACGTGCACCTCGTAATCACCAAAAAGGAAACTTGTCATCTCGATGCCATGACTTAGTCCATTCGGAATCTAGTTTGATGTTAGCTAGTTATTCTAAAATACCGGTATACTATGACGTGTTTTCAAGGCACAGAGGTGGAAGGCTACGTCTTATCATCTCATACGATCGAAGATTTAATTTCAATTAACAATTTGACCCAATATTCA